GACGCGTGCTGACGCTTATGTATGGGCACACCTTAAGTTCAGAGGAGCCAATCAGTGCGTCGTTATCGCCGACATGCCCTGCTCAGCCAGGGTCTCCAGTTAGTCAAACATTATACAACACACAGTCGCGCTGCTGCGGTCCTCTGCAATACATCTGTTAGTGCACGCAAACAATACAACGGATAATTTTAACAAGCGATCGCGGTAATGCGCAGATTATAGTCCACAAATATAAAATGTATAACGTAAAAATCACTTTATAAATTATTATTTTATACAATTTGCTGAGGGTCCGGACAGAGGAGGTCCGGACAGAGGAGGTCGGCGGTCCGGTCGTGGATCGCGGTCCGCCAGTTGAGGAAGGCTGATCTATGTTCTCTGCCAAACAAGATGGATGAATTTATTCTCACAAGGACCAACAAAAGCTTTGCATGTGCTGCGTTGCTCTGCTTCACCAAAACCTGGCACAGCGACTGCCACCCGGACACTACGTTTCACCTACATCGAGCGGACGGTGACACGGATTTATTGGGGAAATCAAAAGGTGGTGGAATATGCTTCGATATCAACGAGGAATGGTGCACTGATGTCACAAAGCTCAACGCACACTGCAGTCGGACTTTGGAGTCTCTGTTTCTAAACTTTATTCTACTATTCTCCCATTCTACTCACCACGGGTGTTCTCTTCCTTCATGCTTGCGGGTGTTTACATCCCACCGCAAGCTAACACGAACACAGCGCGACAAATGTGAGCTGACCAAGTAATCAAACTCGAGCTATAGCATCCAGTCAGCCCTTATCATTTTAGGTTATTTTAATAGAGCACAACTTAACCATGAACTTCCCAGATATAAGCAGCACATTGATTCTTTCAACAGAGAAGGCAACCTTCTAGATCAGGGGTGCCCAAACTTTTTGGACCGAAGTTCTACTTTTCGATCATCCAACATCTCACAATCGACCCGTTCCCGTGCATGCGCGCATACGCACGCAATTACGCAGGCATGCCATGATGCGCAACAGCCGTAACGGCCCCTAAGATGAACGTAACAGAAAAATAAAGTGGATACAATAGTTTGAGTTTGTGAAATGGACTTCCTGCCGACCTTAGTGGGAGACCTGATGCGGAGGCATGCGATGCGCTTTTGCAGCCTGTTAACTGTCGTAGCTCACACATACCATTTTCAGAGATGAAAGCCCTCCGGATTTTCCCGGAATTCCGGGTTTTTCAAATTTTTATGAAAATTTCTCCGGAGAATTGAGGAAAATTTGCATAATCCGGATATTAGTTGACAACATTGAACGGAGACGCGTTTGAGTTCGTTGTATTGCTTTCACGAGCGTAGCCATATTGAAGCACTAACACTAGTAACAGTAAAGACATTTTTCTTTGTGTAATAACGACAGAAGGCATGATGGCGTTTGACTAATGGTTTAGTAGAACGAATGGCAACTCGCAACAACAGTAGCAAGCGTCATTTTGCCTCTTGGGTTATACCATCTCAACTAGAACGTGGGGGATAGTCCCCAAACAATTTTCGTCTCTTTATAAACACACCTGCTAAACCCCAGTGGAACGAATAAAAGACGCCGTCAACAAGACAGTTGTCATAAAATATATATTTGGCCAAAAAGGGAAAAACACAGATTGGCAGAAAATCGTGTCCGTCCGACTTCGAGTGTCGTCTCGGCTAACTTAGCTTAGCTGTTGTCGTGTGTGACGTCATTTGCGTCGGCGCTGAAATGTCGAGTATTTGAATAGCGTTTTGTGTAAACTAATTCATGCTTGATCGGCCAAGTGCGTGCGCGCGCGTACACACACACACACACACACACACACACACACACACACACACACACACACACACATTTATTTATTTATTAATTTTTTCCGGAATTTTCAGAAAAGTCCACTTTCATCTCTTCATTTTAAATTGCTTCTCTCAGCCGTCCAAATTGCCATTCTTTGCGAGTGCCATCGGTGAATTGTTGTTCATGAAACGAACTTTGACTGTTAATAATAATAAAAGCTGTATCGCAGCAGTTCAGATCGCAAGCTGTAATTGCACAGATACACACAAATGTTTGTTTGTGTTTTTTACACTACACCTCTCGCGATCCACTTGGGACCAGTCTGCGAGCTACCGGTCGATTGCGATCCACGTAATGGGCACCCCTGTACTAGATCGTTGCTACACGATGCTGAAAGACTTTGACCAATCATTTATACACGCAGGACTGGGCTTTTCTGATCATTCTTTAATACACTTAATCGCTACATACTGGCACAGACTCAAATGTGTAAAACCGGTTTTCACGACTGTGAAGGGGTGGACCGATGAACCAAAGCTGGTACTACAAGAATGCTTGGACTGCACTGACTGGGCGTCTTTGAAACTTCAACTGGCAGCCTGGACGAATACACAGACACTGTAACATCTTATATCAGGTTCTGTGAGGACAAGTGTGTACCAACAAAGTCCTTCTTCTCCTTCAACAACAACAAGCCATGGTTCACTGCCAAACTCAGGCAAGAAAGAGGCCACCTTTAGAAGTGGAGATAGGGCACTGTACAAACACACCCGAAACTAATTACACAGGAAATTAACATCGCAAAAAGAAGCTATGCTGAGAGG